AAAGTAACTGAATTCACATCTAGGGTCCATAGTGATTTCAGTTCGAAGGGTGGTATACACCACTATCACCACGAAAATAACTTATGACACTTTTTATAACTTTTTATGTAGTATTCTCATAGTGGGTCAATCTAGTCTAAATATTACTCCTAATATTCATAACTATGTGAAGACTTGATAACTCCTTATCCATGATCCATAAGACGTGATCATCAGACTATCTACATAATAGTCTTAATGCTTTAAGGTTATCCCACTTCACAGTAAAGCTCGACTGCGGATACTTTAAGAATAATGTCCTTATGTTTAATGAGATATCATAATTAAGTCACACTTAATATTTTATTAAACGAACTAGCTATTCTAGAGACTTTATAATTTTGGAAAAACAAACATAATAAAGAAATGTATTTTATTATTAATAAATAATTTGATACAGGTGACAAAAGTAATGACCTCTAGGGCTTACACCAACATATCTATCAACCCCCCCCCCCGGACCATTATTAGTCCATCTTCTCATCCAATACAATTGATTGTTGATTTTTCTTCTAACTAATAGACGTTCCAAACAAACTAAACATAAAATTTGATATATATTTTCTAATTTTCACATTTCCTGCTTGATATATGTCAATGAGACCCTCTAAAATGTACTTATCTTGAATTACTCTTGTGTATTTCAAATCACTTTTCAATGATTCATTCAAGTATCTTCAAATCCACTTCTAAGTTTTCCAAGTCATTAGATCCAATATTGTCATAAATCTACGAATATACTAATTACATATGTTAAGTTTGACCTTCTACAAATCATATCATACATGATGTTTCCTACCCGTCTAGCATATGGATTAGTGTTCATATATATAGTCTTTTTATTGAAGAGCTTGCATAAGAAAAAGTTTGATGTAATGACGCAAAAGAGTGTTAATTACGTATATTCTAAATTTTTGCATTTATTGAATTGAGATAAAAATTTGACTCTTATTTTACTTACTCACCATATCCATTCAAAATATCCTCTTCGTAATCATAAGATTCTTCATTTGAAATTCAGAATTTAATTTTCCTTTGAGCGTATAAATTTCCTTCTTTCTAGAACATTTTATGAAGATACATATAAGAAGTAGATAGGGAAAAAATTTATCATTTGTTTTCAATATATAAATGTGGTTGTTGTACTCATTTTTTACAAAACATGTGTTCATTAAAAATTCATCTGACCAATAATATCAATGTCTTGTACTTTGTTTCAAGCCATACACTTTAGATTTGTCCTCTTCAAAATCCTTCAGTTTTTCTTGCATATTATCTCTTCTATATTTTAAATGGTTGAGGGAAAACGATTGAAAATTATGTCTGTCATTAGGTCAAACAGGTCATGACCTAGTTTTGTGCACAAATGGCCTTCAATATTTGAGGTCCTTAATTAGAGCATGAATTGATGTTTAACCTATAAAGAAAATTTGTAGAGGAACTCAAGAGAGATATTTGGAAGAAATAGTCACCCATAAAAGTTAAAAATTGAAGAAGTTATAATCTTTGGAACATAGGCATGTCATACTTGAACTTTAGGCCAAAATATTTTAAGTCCACAAAATGACCTATAATGTTTCCACACTTTTGATGGTCTTCCAAGCATAAATAGCTCTTTACTTGTGAAGAGAAGTTGGAAAGGATGTCAAGATGAGTTATTTTCCCAAAGAATCACTCAAAAATGTTGAAGTATGAAGAAGTTATGAAGTCTTGTACTTAGGCTTGAAATGCTGACTTTTTAGTCAAACCTCCTTGAACAAACTTGCAACTTTGGATATTTTCTTGCATTTCAAGGCACATTGATGATCATATGAACTCAAAATGATGAACTCTTAATTATTCTCTAAGGAATATTGTAATGGCTTGAAGAAACTTTGTTGATGAAGGTATGGAAATAAACACATGAACCTTGGAAAATTCTTAAGAAACAAGCCATCCAATCTTGAGATATCTTTGATCAAATAGCTTTGAATGATGCTTGAGACCTTGTTATTTAAGATGCTTTGATAAATGGATCTTGAAAATCAATGGTTTATCACATTTTGACTTGAGGAACTTAAGCCCTTGTTGAGTATACATTCAATTGATGTTCTTGATTCCAAACCCTACCTTGCAAAGGAAACAAAGGGAAAAAGCATATATTTTTTTATATTTTGATTAGAGGTTAATGAAATATAAAACATATAAGTACAAAAATCGGTTCTTGGTGATATCTGCAAAGGCAAAACCAAAGGTGGGAGGGTTAGGGGATAACCAATTTTGTGATCTTGATGCATTGTAAAGATGCATATGAGGTGGGATCTTAGGGGTAAAAATTAGGGTATAAAATAAATCACCAAATGCTCTTGACTTGAATCAAACATGAACATTTCACCTTTTTTTGTGCTTCATCTCCAACACTTATAGATCATTTTCATCTCTCGACCTTTCTTAATGTTAGAAAACACATCATTTGATTGATGATTTGAAAACTCACAAACCAGTTGTTCTTACATTTTCAAAAGAGTTTTGAATCTTTCTTGAACACTTGGAAACAGTTTATTTTATCTTTTACCTCATTATTTTTCCATTGTTGCGTGGATCTAAATCTCATCTTGATAGATTTGTGATTAATTGAGGAGATTCATTTTTGGATTTAACACTTATTTGAAGATTTGTTTAGGATTTCATAAGTTTGCAAGATTGGGTGGTGTTGTGACTGGTTGTGACAATTCCAGTAGAAAATGAGAAGATTTTACTATCCATGTTAACCTTGGTAGTCTTGTGTGGAAGCCTACGGACAGGATAGGAGTTCTTTTGATTTTCAGACAAATCATGGCTCAAGATACCGGTGGAATTTTGTGGAAATTGTCATAGACAAAGACTTAAGAGCAGGTTGTTAGGGCTGGAAGATTCAAGAAGCGATCTCAAGTAAATTATTCGCATAGGGTTCAGTTCATGGATTTGTGTACAAGTCAAGATCCATAATAAAGGAAATTTTATTTTCATCATTTTATTTGCGGACTAGTTATTATATGAAGTCTTGTAATATTGTTTCAAATCATAGTCGAAGACCAACGAATTTTCAATGTGCAACCATTAGAGAATGGATTAAGGACAAAACAAGGACAAATGTTCCAAACCACTATAAATCTTGGTGTATAACTCTCTCTCTCTCTCTCTCTCTCTCACACACACACACACACACACACACACACACACACACACACATACACACACGCATGCATGCACGCAAACGTGCATGCTTAATTTCGTAGCTGATTGCAAGATTAGGTTATTGTTATTGCCTTTTAGAGTCGCATGTTGAGAGGCTTGTCCGTTGGTAGAGATTTGTTGTATAAGCTATAGGTTTTGTTTGAATTGGAAACTAAACTTTGTTCAATTATGGATTAAGTCTAAAAAGCATTGATAGTGGTAACTTACGTCTCTTAAAAGTTATTCAATATCACATCATGTAAAATTGAGTAATTGGGTAACACATTTGGTTTGTAAATTTTTGTGTAATCCAATTATTCAACTCGGCTATTATGAACCATTTAAGGAAACTTACATAACTTCCAATTGATAAGCATAATCTTTTTTATGCAAACTTTGCTTCCACCATGCAAAACATATTGTTTTTGAAACTTTGATAAAAACCTTTTTTTCAAACGGAAGTTTTATTTTGGAATGTCTATTCATCCCTTATCATTATTAGTCCAATCATCTAATACAATTGATTGTTGAGTTTTATTCTAACTAATAGAAGTTCCAAACAACCTAAACACAAAATCTGAAATGTATTTCTCTTGAGTTATATGTCAATGATACCCTCTAAAATGTATTTCTCTTGAGTTACTCTTACATGCTTTCAATGATTCATTCAAGTATCTTCAAATCCACTTCAAAGTTTTTCAAGTCATTAGATCCAAAATTATCATAAATCTACTCACTATACTAATTACATATGTTAAGTTTGAACTCCTATAAATCATATCATACATGATGCTTCCTACCCATCTAGCATATGGAGTAGTGCCCATCTATATAGTTTCTTCTTTTGATTGAAGAGTTTGCATAAGAAAAAGTTTGATGTGATGACACAAAGGAGTGTTAACAAACTTAACTTCGTACATTCTAAACTGTTACATCACTCTCTTCAAGTAACTGAACTGAAATACAAACATTTAACTCTTATTTTAGTTACTCACAATATCCATTCAAAATATCCTCTTCGTAATCATAAGATTCTTCATTCGAAATTTGGTATTTAATTTTCCTTTGAGCGTATCAATTTTCTCATTGCTAGAATATTTAATGAAGATATTGTCCATATAAGAAGTAGATAGAAAAAATTGGCTTAATACCTCTTTTAGTCCCTTAACTCTAGTGTTTGTTTCGCTTTAGTCCCTTAAGAAAAAAATGTTACATTATGGTCCATTAACTTATACTTTGTTACGTATAGTAGTCCTTTCTGTTAGTTTGGGTTGGGAAAACGTTAGAAATTGAACCGGTGGACTTTAAATGGCTTAGGTGGATATTCTATAATTATTTTAATGGATGAGGTGTATTTTGTATTACACATAACATTCATTTTAAGTAGATGAAACTTGTTAGGGCATGATAAGAATTTTGGATGAAAGCTTGTTTAGGTATCTCGTTCAAACAACAGCTACATTGTGAAGAAGAACACCATATCTATGTACGAATTTCATTGAAGACGACATTTACGACAATACTTGTTTGAGACGAAGTTTAAATAGTGAAGTTTTTGACAACAAGAAAACCCTAAGTTATGACAACAACGCTTCTTTGAAGACAAAGTTCATTGCAGAAGAACAAAGTAGAACTTCATTGTTTTACTCGTCTGGATAGAAAACCCTAAGGTACGAACTTGCACAAACACGATTCAAAAAATGTTAAATCTCTTATATACCTAACTTGCTTAGTACTTTTGATATTGTATGTAGGTTGATTAGGTCATGGAGATTAGGTTTAAGTGTGTTATTCATCATTCTGGTGAGTTTTCTAAGGAGTTTTCAAATTTTACCAAGTCAGGTTATGTAGGGTTAGAGGAGATATGGGATGTTGATCCTGATTATTGGAGTTACTTTGAAATATTGGACAAGTTAAGAGAGTTAGGTTACCATACTATAGATAGGATTTGGTATTATGATGATATGATTTCTAATGATATAGTTCAGTTAGAAAATGATAAGGGAACTGATAGGATGAGAACCATTGCAGTGTTAACTGGGGAATGCCACTTGTATGTTACACATCTTGTATTTGTACCTGATGTTATTGAGGAGCCCGTACTCTCACTACCATATGTGAGCATATTGGGTGAAGAAATGTGTGGTGAAGGTCCTGATATGGTTAATAGTGAGGATGGGACCACAGTGGCCGAAGATGTGGTGGAAGAGGGGATAAGAGTTGATGAAGTTGAGGAGAATGTTAGGATTTAAGATAATGTTGGAATTGGGGGAAATGTGGGTGATGTGGGGACCAACTTTGAAACTGAGATGAATGTTGGTCAAGAGGAGACAAACTGTAACAATATGGATGATGTAGGGACCACCTGTGAAATGGAGGAGAATGTGGATGTATGGATGAATGTTGGAGGGGATGAAATCAATGAAGGACTGAACTGTAACCAAGAACAAGATGAGGTAGTCAATTGTAACCAAGAACCAGATGAGGTAGTCAACTGTAACCAAGAAGATGGAAGTGATGACAGTGCTTTGAATGTAAATTTTGAAGACTCATAGAATGACATAGTATTGATGGAGAGATAGAAATTGATGAGGATGAAGTGAGTGCAACAAGTAAGTTGAATGGAAAAGGCAATGGAAAAAACCATGGGAAATGTAAGGGGAAAGGTAAGGGGAAAGGGAAAGGGAAAGGGAAAGGTAAAGGTAAAAGGAAAGGGAAGGGGAAAGGGAAGGGAAAAATAAAGGAAAAGGTCATTGTTAGGGATGTAGGTGAAGATAATGATGGTGAGGTAAATCTGGACAATTTGAGAGGTTTAGGTGACATAGAGGAGTATGACAGTGATAAAATGCCTACTGAGCATGACAATGAGAATGATGAGGTTGTAAAGGATGATTTTGTAACTTTTAAGCTTCCAAAAATAATGGAAGACTACAAATGGGAACTTGGTACGTTTTTTTCTACAAAGGGGGTGTTTCAAGAGGCAGTAAGAACATATGTCGTTAATTCAGGAAGGAACATGAAATTTACCAAAAATGATAAGGCGAGAATGAGAGTTAAATGTAAGGCAAGTTGCCTATGGGAGGCTTACTGTGCAAATATTAAAGGTCAGGAGACTTGGCAATTAAGGACAATTGCGGACAAACATACTTGTAGTATGAATTATAAGATTAGGTTCCTCAATTCAAAATGGTTGGGCAAGAATATTCAAACAAGTGTTAGAGAGAATCCAGCTTTGAAGTTGACTGATATTATGGAGAAGACACATGAAAAGTGGAATGTTGGAATTAACAAGACATTGGCATATAGAGCTAAAACGCTAGCTGTCGATATTGTGGATGGTTCTTTTAGAGAGCAGTATAGAAGAATTCATGATTATGGCCATGAACTATTGAGGGAAAACCCAGGATCAACTATGAAGATTACAAGTCAGCCACCAGTTCAAGGGGAAAGCAGTGAAAACTCTACTCAATTGAATCTTCACTTTCAAAGGATGTATGTTTGTCTAAAAGCTTGCAAGGACAGTTTTTTCAAATGCGGGCCTATTATAGGATTAGATGGTTGTTTCTTAAAGGGATATTATGGAATAAAAATACTAGATGCTATTGGTAGGGACCCAAATGACCAAATGCTTCCAATTGCATATGTTGTTGTTGAGGGTGAATCTAAAGACTCATGGAGCTGGTTTCTAGAGTTATTGATACCTGATTTGGGAGGAGTCGGGTTGTGAAAAACATATACCTTCATTAGTGATCAACAAAAGTTTAGGTTTTAAACTCTCACCTTGAAATATAACCGTTAGCCAATTGTTTTATTTTCACCATCATTCTTACTTATTTATGGATGCAGGGTTTGCTGCCAGCTCTTAATGAATTACTTGGAAATGTTGACCAGTGATTCTGTGTTAGGTAATTTTTACTCTCACTTTTGTAACTTACATATTAAATATGACATACTTGGTCATGTTTACACTTACTTTATATTGCAGACATTTGTATAGTAACTTCAGGAAAAAGTTCCCTGGCTTGAAATTAAAGGAGATGATGTGGAGGGCTGCATGTGCAAGTTATGTTAATGCTTGGGAGAAAAAATTCTTGAAATCAAAGGAGTTAATGAAGAGGCATTCAAACACCTCATCAAAATTCCACCAAGATTCTGGAGCAAATCAAGGTTCCAGCCAAGTTCAGGTTGTGACACTTTGTTCACAATATGTTAGAGGCATTCAATTTTATATTTGTGGAAAAAGATCATCAAATATGATGGAATCATACTACCTAACATCAATAAGAGGATGGAAAGGGAGTCACAAAAAACCAATTTGGATTGTGAGGTAACATTACTTTTAAATGGCTAACTATTTACATTTACTATCATTGTTAATGGTTACTTGTTTATAGGTGTGCAAGTGAATATGACTATAAGGTGAGGCATACTTCACTCAATGGAGAAAAATATGTTGTCAACGTTTACAAGAAAGAATGCTCATATAGATTATGGATGTTGACTGGACTTCCTTGTTGTCATGCAATGTCTTGCATGAAAGATTAACATTTGGAGATTGATGACTTTGTACCTGATTGTTACAAGAATGAACAATATGTTGCTTGCTATGCACATGTGATATATCCACTTAATGGGTAAACTTTGTGGGCAAAGACTAATATTGTTGATCTTCAGCCGCCACCAATAAAGAGGCAACCTGGAAGGCTAAAGAAAAAAAAGAAAAAGGGAAGTTGGAGAGATGGTGAGGTATAAGACACACATAAAGAGGGAAAGACATGGTATAAAGTGTAGTCGGTGCCACAAGGATGGTCACAACAAGGCCACTTGTAAACTACCACAACCACAAGCTAGTTCAAGTCAGGTACAAGATGTAACAAGTCAGCAACCATCACAAGCTAATACAAATCAATCACCGCCTATTGCGACAAGTCAATCACCATCACAAGCTGTTACAAGTCAACCACCACTACCTGTTGCAACAAGTCAGCCGCTATCACAATCTATTACAAGTCAACCACCATCACATGTTGTTACAAGTCAGCCATCATCCAAAACTAAGAAAAAACTTTATAAGGGTGGAAAGCTTATTCCAAGCAAACCATGATCAATATTATTATGTTTAGTAGGATTTTGTAATGCCAATTAATATCATGACTCTTTTGTTTTTTTAATGGCCTTATAATGGCCTTTTGGTTTTGAACCTGTTATGTAATGCCTTACAAAGGCCTTTTGGTATATAAACCTGTTATGTATTGCCTTTAATGGCCTTTTGGTTTTGAACCTGTTATGTAATGCCTTACAATGGCCTTTTGGTATATGAACCTGTTATGTATTGCCTTTTAATGGCCTTTTGGTTTTGAACCTGTTATGTAATGCCTTACAATGGTCTTTTGGTATTTGAACATGTTATGTATTGCCTTATAATTGCCTTGTTTTATTGAACCTGTTGTGTATCAAATATTGAATCTGTTATTGAATGTTGGAATGGTTATTGAACCTGTTATGTATCAAACTTTGAAATATGTTTTTGAACCTGTTATGTATCAAACATGTTATTGAATCTGTTATGTATCAAAACATTTTATTGAACCTATTAAGAAACATTATTCAATGGGCTGCATATTTTACAGGTTGGATATTGAGAAACTATTCAATGAACATGTTATGTATCAAACATGTTTGAACAACTTATATTATAGTTTGTTTCCACAAATATTGGTCATTGAGCTGCATATTTTACAGGTTGGATATTGATACATTATTCAATGAAAATGTGAAAACATAACACAAATATTATTCATTGAAACAACATAACAGAACATTATTCATTAAACAAACTCATCAATTTGTTACAACATAACAGTACATTATTAAAAACATAAAAACATAACTTAGAACTAACCTAAAACTAATTGAGATACATTGTTACAAACACAATGTTTAACCCTAAGCTTACAATCCCAACAACAATGGACATTTTGAGCCACCCTCGAGTGCACATAACTTCATTCTTCAATCTGTTAATTTTCTTCTTTTGTCTTTCAAGCTTCAAATCTCTTTCATCAAGAAACTCATCACCCAACCACTTGAAGAAATTACAATCCTTTTCAATGTAGTTTCTGTAATTTCTACAACCCCAGAATTTTCTCCCCTTGTTGACACTGTTCACATCATTCATTATTCTAAAAACACTTTCATCTTGGCAAAATCGCTCGATCTTCTTGTTTCTATGAATCAAAGACCCAGATGTGCCATAGCTATGGTTGTTTGAAGTTGACGCATTGCTTGCACTCTTTGACATTGCTTCAACCATAATTCCCAAATTGCAGAAGAAATTAGAAGATAGTAGAAGAAAATTGGAAGAAAGATATTTAACTGAAGATGAAGATGGAATAGGTTGAAATATGGAACACAGATGAAGAAGAATGGTTGAAGAATAATGAAGCAGCAACAATGAAATATGGAACCCTATGTAAGGCAACACATGCATATGCTAATGTGGAATCTTACTTGGCATGCTACCTCACATAAACTAACGTTTTTTTCACAAACTAACAGAAGGGACCAAAGTGTTTAATGGAACTTAAATTAAAGGATCAATATGTAACATTTTTTAGTTTGGATACCAAAGCGAAACTTCACTCAAAGTTAATGGACCCAATGACTAATTATGCCACACAAAAAAATTATCATTTGTTTTCAATATATAAATGTGGTTGTTGTACTCATTTTTTACAAAACCTGTGTTCATAAAAAATTTATGGCTTAATTGCAACTATGGTCCCCCTATTTTGTATTTTTTTTAGTTTTGATCCCTCCATTTTAAAAACCACAATTTTGGTCCCTTTTTTAAGTTTTGAGTTTGATTTTAGTCTCCTCTCCAATTTGAGACATTTTTTTAATGATGTGGCGCTATCCAAGATGACATGGCAATGCCAAGTAATTTAAAAATTAATTTGAGACTTTAATTATTGATTAGGATAATTAATTTATTAATATTTTTTATTAATAAATAAATAAATTATTAATTTTTTATTATTAATTAATCAAAATTTTAAATGAAACACTTTGGGTCTAACCTTTTTGTCTCATATCTTTGGTCCATCTTTTTAACACACAATTGATTTGTTGTGTTTGTGTAAGATATATAAACACTAACAACATTTGTAATGAAAACAATGTGGGACTACTATAACACCATCTAATTTTTCAATCATGAAACACTTTTCAAATAATTAAGCCTTGAGAGTCTAATGGACTTCCATAAACCAGGAACAACAGCAAATGTGAACCAATTGAATTCCCAGAAGTCCATTCCTGGCTATGGAATCGAATTTACTAACCTCTCACACAGTATCATAAAGAAGCAGAAAAAAGATGGGTTTGGATCAACAAAGAAACATTTCTTCTTCATGATATCTCTGGCCAGGCAGTTAAAGGTGAAAATTTTGGCAATGTTAAATTCTGGCCAGTAAGTACAAATGCACTCGTTGCGTCTAGTTCTCAATGTTAAAATCACTTTTCAAAATTGTTTTTAATTTAAGCTATCAATTAACCAAATAAATCACGTTTGTTAGGTTTTCAAATTTATTTTGATTGTGGTTCTCTGATTATTATTCCTCTTTTGGTGATTAGGTTGTTGTTGCTGATGAAAAGAATGCCTCGAATAACCAAGGTAGATGAAATTTCAATTACAACATTTTTTTCTTCTAAAATGAAAATTCTTATATTGAGATTTGTGTTATTTTTTTTCTTTATTACAAAGATTTTAATTACCTGAAAAATTTGCTTATGAACTTAACATGCAGTGCCTTAATTTGCTTATCAAACTCTTGGAACTCTAATTGGTAATGTTTTCCGGCTTAATTTTTGAGTAATGTACTCAATTTGATTCACTTTAATAATTGCATGTGGCTAAGGCGTAGCTTGATTAGAGTATAGTTGCAATTTTTCTATAATAATAATTCATGGATCTCTAGTTTATTTATTCATGCAGAAGCTTTTGGGGAACAACCAGCTAGTAATTGACAGGGATTCTTTAGTGTCTCGTCTTACACGCAGTATTTCAACGTGGACACGGATGTTGTTGTGAACAGATTGATAAGTTCCTTAAATTCTGTCGCTGATGACTTTTTTGGAAAGATAGATGCTAATCCTGATTTATAAGTTCTCTATTTTATCTTTTGCTGCTCTAGATTTTGAATAACTAAAGTGTCAATACTGATTTTGATTAGATGTGGAAAATGTCATGCTTGGTGAAAAACTTTAGTTGACTATTGCATTGTCATCTAACATTTATGAGGGAGAAAGTGAAACTTGCATTTTGCTTCTTTCACTTCTTGTTGTTGTTCCTGGTTTATGGGAGTCCATTATACTCTCAAGGCTTCTTTGATGATAATTATTTGAAAAGTTGTTCATGATTGAAAAGTTGGTGGAAATATGTAATTTAAATAAGTACATGCAAAATCAATAAAGTATAAATTATTTCAATAAAAGAGATTCTTACATACTTGCAGAAACCTTTTCTTTCAACAATATTTTAAGTGATATTAATTATGGAAAGAGAGAGCTACAGAGAGAGGGTGAAAAGATGAGATAGATAACATAACATAATAGTAGATGGTGTTATAGTAGTCCAACATTGTTTTCATTACAAATGTTGTTAGTGTTTATATATCTTACACAAACACAACAAATCAATTGTGTGTTAAAAAGATGGACCAAAGACATGGGACTAAAAGGTTAGGCCCAAAGTGTTTCATTTAAAATTAATAATAAAAAATTAATAATTTATTTATTTATTAATGAAAATAATATTAATAAATTAATTATCCTAATCAATAATTAAAGTCTCAAATTAATTTTAAAATGACTTGGCATTGCCACGTCATCTTGGATAGCACCACATCATTAAAAAAATGTCTCAAATTGGAAAGGGGACTAAAATTAAACTCAAAACTTAAAAAAGGGACCAAAATTGTGGTTTTTAAAATGGAGAGATCAAAACCCCAAAAAACAAATTGGAAAGGGGACTAAAATCAAACTCAAAACTTAAAAAAGGGACCAAAATTGTGGTTTTTAAAATGGAGAGATCAAAACCCCAAAAAACAAATTGGAAAGGGGACTAAAATCAAACTCAAAACTTAAAAAATAGACCAAAATTATGGTTTTTAAAATAGAGGGATCAAAACCCCAAAAAATGCAAAATAGGAGGATCATAGTTGCAATTAAGACAAAATTTATATGACCAATGTTATCAATGTCTTGGACTTTGTTTCAAGCTACCTTAGATTTGTCCTCTTCAAAATCCTTCTGTTTTTTTTTTGTTGTTGCATATTATCTCTTCTAGTTCCACATGTAAAAATGTGATCTTCAAGTCCATTATCTCTAACTCAAGGTTGACAGGTTGTCTTCGCTAATTTATGATTTTCTTTACTCTCAACTGGTTCCTTGAATATCTTTGATTTTGAGGCTTGGATCTCCTCATTCTCATTTAGATTATAAGAGTTGTATTGATATGGTGCCACAATTTCTCTCCTATCATCATTTAGATTACAAGAATATGTTATAAATCAAAAAAGTTATAAATCATAAAAATAAAATAAAAAAAAGTAAAAAATCACTCTTACGAGTATTACTCTAGATGAACTAGGGATGTTCGTGGTTCATGAACTACACTGAATCAAACCACATTTATGGTTCAATTCAGTTTATAATAACTACTTCAATAAAAATTGAGTTACCCGCTAAAATGGTTTCAATCCAGTTTAAAACTAGTTTAGAACTATTTTGTGTTTATAAACTAGTTTATAATCAGTTAAACCAATTATATATTTTGAACTCTTTTAAAACTAAATTTTTTAACTTCATAAAAATTTAAATTTTTTTATATTAAAAAATATTCTTTAAAATATTTAATTTTAAAAAAGTTACAATACGAATCATTTGATGTATAGTCTTTTTGTTTGCGTATTGGTATTTATCTAGTAGTTTGGATTGGTGTATCAAGTGTACTGTATATCTCTTGTGTCGCTGTAGCATTTCTTATGCTCTCCAACAGTTTTTACAATTAATTTAGTTTGTTTGGCTTTTCAAAAAATAATT